CCCCAGCACCCTCCCTGGGTGCTATGGAAACACACTTGTCTCTGGTAGAAGAGAGAGAAATGGAAGAAGACTATTAAACCAGCAGTTAGGCCTGGGCGCAGTGGCTCCGATTTACAATTCCAACACTTTTGGAGGTTGAGAACAGAGGATCGTTTGAGGCCAGGAGTTCAAGACCAGCCTGGACAACATAGCAAGACCCCCCCATCTCCAGAAACAAATGAATTATTAGCCAGGTGTGGTGGTGTGCGCCTGTGGTCTCACTTATTCAGGAGGCCAAAGCAGGAGGACCACCTGAGCTCCGGAGTGCCAGGCCGCAGTGATCTGTGATGGCGACAGAACAAGACCCTGTCTCTACAAAAAAAAAAAGTAAAAGATAAGCAGCAGTTAAACCAGGAGAAAATGGGGTGGGCGGGGACATAAGGCCTTTTTTTTTTTTTTAAAGCATATAAAAGCTTTAAAGGAATTTTATTGTTTCAACTTAATACCCTTACAAATTTCTGCTCTTGGCTTCATGATCCCAACTCTTTTTTTTTTTTTTTTTGAGACAGAGTTTCGCTCTTGTTACCCAGGCTGGAGTGCAATGGCGCGATCTTGGCTCACCGCAACCTCCGCCTCCTGGGTTCAGGCAATTCTCCTGCCTCAGCCTCCTGAGTAGCTGGAATTACAGGCACGTGCCACCACGCCCAGCTAATTTTTTGTATTTTTAGTAGAGACGGGGTTTCACCATGTTGACCAGGGTGGTCTCGATCTCTCGACCTTGTGATCCACCCGCCTCAGCCTCCCAAAGTGCTGGGATTACAGGCTTGAGCCACCGCGCCTGGCTTTTTTTTTTTTTTTTTTTTTTTTTTTTTTTTTTTTTTTTTTGAGTTGGAGGAGTTTCGCTCTTGTTGCCCAGGCTGGAGTGCAATCTCGGCTCACCGCAACCTCCACCTCCCAGGTTCAAGCAATTCTCCTGCCTCAGCCGCCGGATCAGCCGGGATTACAGGCGCGTGCTACCACGCCCAGCTAATTCTGTATTTTTACTAGAGACGGGGTTTCTCCATGTTGGTCAGGCTGGTCTCAAACTCCCGACCTCAGGTGATCTGCCCACCTCAGCCTCCCAGAATGCTGGGATTAGACACGTGAGCCACCAAGGGACCTCATGATCCCAGTTCTTAGCTCTTCCTGTTGATGTAAGCAGTGTTCATAATCAGAATTAACAATGGTGTCGCCCGGACAATCAGCCAGGCCTTTCTGTTTCCAGCCGAGTGTAGGCAGGTGGGTACGTCCTGGAGAGCTCTTCGGTAGCTATTTCCAGAGAGTCCAGAATTCAAAACATGTGGAAGGGGTTGGGGCAGTTCTTGCTGCATTTCAAACTCACTCCTCCAACACAACAAAGCAGGGATTGTCTGGGCAGGCTGTGGGCCCAGCCTCTCCTATAGAGGGTTCCATGCGGGCATCAGTATTTCTCAGCGGGTCAGATTCCTCGAAGCCAAATTCATGTCCACCTTGTGTTCAGGCCACAGCCGCATGGATGGGCTCTGAAACCACCTTTGCATGCTTATGAAAAATGGACCAGAACAGGAAAGTTGGAACCCAAGAGGTAAAGGTTACAGTGAGCTGAGATTGTGTCACTGCACCTTTGAGCGAGACCCTGTCTCAAAGCGTGCGCGCGCGCGCGCACACACACACACACACACACACACACACACAAAATAAAGCTACCTTTGCAAAAATGCTACAAGTGAGATGTAATTTAACCACCTCAATCTTGCCTTTAGCCTTCCAACTGCCCTTAGTCATGGCTGGGCTTGGGCCAAGCTAAACTGGGAGTTTATAGTTTAAATGATAGTCACCTGGCCAGGCACGTTGGCTCACGCCTGTAATCTCAAAACTTTGGGAGGCTGAGGCGGGCGAATCACGAGGTCAGGAGTTTGAGATAAGTCTGACCGACATGGTGAAACCCCGTCTCTATCAAAAACACACAAAAAATTAGCAGGGCATGGTGTCGCATGCCTATAATCCCAGCTGAGGCAGGAGACTCTTGAACCCGGGAGGCGGAGGTTGCAGTGAGTGGAGATGTCGCCACTACACTCCAGCCTGGGCAACAGAGTGAGACTCGGTCTCAAAAAAAAAAATCCAAAAAACAAACGAACTGATCATAGCCCTTCTTCAAAACTCAATGGCCTTCATAAAGCTACTGAGAGACCAGCAGGCTCCGAGGATGAAGGAACCCCAAATTCTGCCAAGGCGTAGCCCTCGACACGGTTCCAGAGTACTGGCACCAGGTCCGCAGCTCCTCCACTTACTCCTCCAGGTAACAACATCACGACTGTAGAACCTAAGACTGGCCTTTTGAGATGTGTTTTCGGGTTTTTGCGTTTCTTTTCCTTTTTTTTTTTGGAGACAGGGTTTCACTCTGTCACTCAGGCTGGAGTGTAATGGTGCAATCTCTGCTCACTGCAGCCTCTGCCTCCTGGATTCAAGCAATTCTCCTGCCTCAGCCACCCAAGGAGCTGAGATTACAGGTGTGACCCCCCCAAGCCCGGCTAAGTTTTGTATTTTCAGTAGAGATGGGGTTTCACCATGTTGACCAGGCCGGTCGCCAACTCCTACCCTCAGGTGATTTGCCTGCCTCATCCTCCCAAAGTGCTGGGATCACAGGTGTGAGCCAGCATACCAGCCCAGGTTTTTGCATTTCTGACACTCAGTGGCTTCCCCTGGACCGAATGACCTACCTGCCCCGCCTCCCACCCCTAGAGCACCCATGGACAGTTCTGCGGCCCCACCCAGAAGCAAATCCCCTGGCCTGCCAAACTATCCTCAAAAAAAGTCTGGCCTCCGAATTTTTGGGGAGATTGATGTAAGAATTAAGCTCTGGCCTCCTGTTCCGCCGGCTCTGCATGAATTAAGCTCTGTCTCTATTGCAATTTTCCTGTCTTGAGAAATCGGCTGTATCTGGGTTCCGAGCAAGAATGAATGCGTGGGGCAGTAGCAGCGGTGAGGGTCAGACAGTGAAAACCATGGAGGCTCCGTCCTCCCACCCGCCCACCTGCGGCGGCTCCTGCCACGTCTCCAGGCGGTGCAGCGGCTGACGCCCTTTGCAAGGCGCTGGCATGTCTGGTCCTGCCCAGAGCTTGGCACCACTGAAAAGAGCAGACACTGCAAAACGGTTTCTAGGAGAGCAGCCAGGAGCTGCTCACAGTTGGGAACAACGCCTCATTGTTTGGGAGCTCATTTAAATGTTGCCAGACCTATTTCATGTCTCTCCTTTGGAAACTCTGATTTGGAAGGAAATTTGATTCATCTGATTTGCTTCTGTGATCGAATAATTTTTTGATTATTTGGCCAAATTTGGCTAAATGATAAGTTTTTCAACTAATTTTCAATATGAAAACCTGACAGCTTTTTCTTTTTTTTTTTTTTTTTTTTTTTGAGACGGAGTTTCGCTCTTGTTACCCAGGCTGGAGTGCAATGGCACGATCTCGGCTCACCGCAACCTCTGCCTCCTGGGCTCAGGCAATTCCCCTGCCTCAGCCTCCTGAGTAGCTGGGATTACAGGCACGTGCCACCATGCCCAGCTAATTTTTTGTATTTTTAGTAGAGACGGGGTTTCACCATGTTGACCAGGACGGTCTCGATCTCTTGACTTTGTGATCCACGCGCCTCGGCCTCCCAAAGTGCTGGGATTACAGGCGTGAGCCACCACGCCCGGCCGACAGCTTTTTCTACTGAATTATCCAACCCCTTCCTTCCTAACCTCCTTCCTGAATTATCCAACCTCCTTCCTAACCCCATGGCTCCCCCTCTCCTGCTGTTTCTCCTTCAGGAAGGGTAAAAAATCACACATTCAAAGCCTGTTCTGAAATTTCCCTTGCTTAGCTCTGCTCAAAACAAACATAAACCTGGTTTTCAAGTATTTCCAAGTCACCTATAAAAAAGAAATGGTTTATATAGGCTGTTAGGAGTTATTAATATTTAATTCATTTAGGGGAAAATGCTGGTTTTTCTTTGTGATTAGATTAGTAAAACTTGTTTTTATTTTACTTTAGGTAATTTTCAAATATCCTTTTTCTTTTTTTTTTAAGAGAGGGGGCCTGTCACCCAGGCTGCCCTGGTATTGCAGTCACAGCTCACTGCAGCCTCAAACTTCTGAGTTCAAGGGGTCCTCCCATCTCAGCCTCCCACGTAGCTGGGACTACAGGTATGTGCCACGCCAGCTAACGCCTTTATTTTTTGTAGAGACAGCGTCTTGTTGTGCTGTACAGGGTGGTCTTGAACTCCTGGCCTCAAGTGATCCTCTAACCTTGTCCTACCAGTGAGGCCAAATATCCATTTTTTAATCATAATCAGTCCTTTTGTGTAAGACTCCACTGTTATATTGGACGAAGGAAAAAAAGCAAACCTTTGTAACATTTCATATATGACAAATCCCAACAGATAAAAAAGATTCGCCAGGTCCCAGGGCTTCAGGAAACAAGAGTGGGCTCATGGGGTGAGGAGAGTGTGCCCAGCACTAAGCAAAGTGGAGTCTTAAGCCTGTTTCTTGCTTGGGGACTGTTTTTTTGTTTTTTTTTTGAGACGGAGTTTCGCTCTTGTTACCCAGGCTGGAGTGCAATGGCGCGATCTCGGCTCACCGCAACCTCCGCCTCCTGGGTTCAGGCAATTCTCCTGCCTCAGCCTCCTGAGTAGCTGGGATTACAGGCACGCGCCACCATGCCCAGCTAATTTTTGTATTTTTAGTAGAGACGGGGTTTCACCATGTTGACCAGGATGGTCTCGATCTCTCGACCTCGTGATCCACCCGCCTCGGCCTCCCAAAGTGCTGGGAATACAGGCTTGAGCCACCGCGCCCGGCCAGCTTGGGGACTGTTTATGCTTCAACACAGTACCTGAAATATTGGACATTCCAATATGCAAGAGGCAAACTGCGAATCCACAAACCCATTCTGACACATGGATAAACTTTTATTGATACATCAAGGGAAAACCAATGTTCAGTGAAGGCTGCCGAATCCATATTTCTCAGAGTAAAGATGTTTAATGGACTCTCCACCTTTAAAGCGCTTTGTATGAAATATAGCTAGGAACACACATAAACAATTCAGATTACAAAACTCTCCAGGAAAGTAATAATCATCATGTAATACTGGAACTACAGGTAAAAAAAAAGCAGCCTTCTAGGAGTCCTAACTGTAGTTGACTTGGAAGTACAGATCATCATAGCAACCTTCTGTATCGGGTTGTCACGGGCAGTTGTAAGCAAACAGCATCAGTCTGCAAAGCGTTTGGAAATCATCTGAAGCTGTTAACAGCAGAAGCTATTCTTCCAGTTCTCCCAGCAGCTCTGCAAAATCAGTGATATACCATTTGGCGTTATCCTTGACATGCTGCCTGATCACATTTCCTCCAAACCCAATGAAGGCATCCTAAGGAAGAAGAAAAAAGAGAAACAATTTTCGTATTTATGTATTTATTTGTTTGTTTGTTTGAGTTTTGCTCTGTCGACCAGGCTGGAGTGCAGTGGCATGATCTCTGCTCTCTGAAACCTCTGCCTCCCGGGTTCCAGCGATTCTCCTGCCTCAGCCTCCCACGTGGCTGAGCTGACAGGTGCCCGCCACCATGCCTGGCTAATTTTTGTGTTTTTAGTGGAGACAGAGTTTCACCATGTTGGCCAGGCTGGTATTGAACTCCTGACCAGGTGATTTGGCCACTCTGGCCTCCCAAAGTGCCGGGATTACAGGGGTGAGCCACGGTTCTGGGCAGAGAAATGATTTTTAGAAAACCAGAAAACCAAGGTTGCAAGCAGCGATCGAGAGCAGTAAGTGTTTCAATCATGAACTGTTCCTGCAAAGAGAGGTAAGCCTGGCTCCCCCATGTGCCTCCACTGAGCGCCCAGCACCTTCCTCCTCCCCTCCTCTGTCTCTGGCTCCTTCCTGGCTGCCTCTTATCCCTCACTGCACTGTCCTGATCAGTACATGCACCACTGCAGGGGACCCATTCAGCTGGACAATGTCCAGGCTGTGGGAGAATGATAAGATATGGGCTCTGTCCTCTTACAACCAAGACAAATGCCTGCAAAAATAAAAATCGGCCGGGCGCGGTGGCTCACGCCTGTAATCCCAGCACTTTGGGAGGCCGAGGTGGGCGGATCAGGATGTCAAGAGATTTATACCATCCTGGCCAACGTGGTGAAACCCCATCAGTACTAAAAATACAAAAATTAGCTGGGCGTGGTGGCGCACGCCGCCTGTAGTCCCAGCTACTCAGGAGGCTGAGGCAGGAGAATCGCTTGAACCTGGGAGGTGGAGGTTGCAGTGAGCCGAGATTGTGCTACTGCACTCCAGCCTGGCGCCTGACAACAGAGGGACACTCCATCTAAAAAAAAAAAAAAAAAAAAAGTCAAGGGAAAAAAGGCAAGGAACAGAATTTTGTACTTTTTTTTTTTCTTTTTTTGAGATGGAGTTTGGCTCTTGTTGCCCAGGCTGGAGTGCAATGGCGCGATCTCAGCTCACTGCAACCTCTGCCTCCTGGGTTTAAGCAATTCTTTTTTTCTTTTTTTTTTTTTTTAATTAAAGACAGAGTTTCATCATACTGGTCAGGCTGGTCTCAAACCCCTAACCTCAGGTGATCTGCCCACCTCAGCCTCCCAAAGTGCTGGGATTACAGGCTTGAGCCACCGCGTCCAGAGGGTTTAAGCAATTCTCCTGCCTCAGCCTCCGGAGTAGCTGGGATTACAGGCCTGGCTAATTTTGTATTTTCAGTAGACTGGGAGCTCCCTGAGAAAACTCTTCATTTTACTTTTATGTATTCCTCATTAAACTAGCCCAGTGTTCATTGCTTAGCTAACTCCAACACTGGTTATAAATTATCTAAGGTAACAGTAAAAAGATTCAAAGACGAGGTGGTCCACGCCTATCCCAGCACTTTGGGAGGCCAAGGCAGGTGGATCACCAGAGGTCGGGAGTTCGATACCAGCCTGGCCAACATGGTGAAACCCCGTCTCTACTAAAAATAGAAAAAAAATTAGCTGGTGTGGTGGCGGGCGTCTGCAATCCCAGTTACTTGGGAGGCTGAGGCAGGAGAATTGCTCAAACCCGGGAAGTGAAAGTCACAGTTGGTTGACTCCAGTTGGTCGACAGAGTGAGACTCTCAAAAAAAAAAAAAAAAAAAAAAAAAAAAAAGATTCAAAGGCTGGGCTCAATGGCTCATGCACTTTGGGAGGCCAAGGTGTGCAGATCACCTGAGGTTGGGAGTTTGAGACCAACCTGGCTGGAACCTTTTTTTTTTGAGATGGAGTCTCACTCTGTCATGTTCAGGCTGGAATGTCGTGGTGTGATCTCAGCTCACTGCAACCTCCCCCCTCCCGGGTTCAAGTGATTCTCCTGCCTCAGCCTCCCAAGTGGCTGGGATTATAGGCACCCACCACCACGCCTGGCTAGTTTTTCTATTTTTAATAAGATGGGGTTTTGCCATGTTGGCCAGGCTGTTCTCGAACTCCTGACCTTAAGTGATCCACCTGCCTCTGCCTCCCAAACTGCTGGGATTACAGGCATGAGTCACCTTCGTGCCCAGCCAAAAGGTTCCTTTTAATGCTTTTTCATGCATCATTCACAAAGACTATCATTTTTATTTATTATTTACTTATTTATTTTTTTCTTTTGAGATGCAGTCTTGCTCTGTCGCCCAGGCTCGACTGCAGTGGCATGATCTTGGCTCACTGCAACCTCTGCCTCCCAGGTTCAAGCGATTCTCCTGCCTCAGCTTCCCTGGTAGCTGGGATTACAGGTGCCCACCACCTCACCCAGATAAATTTTGTATTTTTAGTAGAGACAGGGTTTCACCGTCTTGGCCCGGCAGGCTGGTCTTGAACTCCTGAATTCGTGATCCACCTGCCTCGGCCTTCCAAAGTACTGGGATGACAGGCGTAAACCACCATGCCCAGCCTATTTTATTTTTAGACAATCCCTAGTTGTAGATCTCAGAAAAGCAGGTGGTAAAAACTTCAGCGCGCTCTTTCTCTCTTTCTAATACACACACACACACACACACACACAATACAAAATTTTAGCCAGGTGTGATGGTGGGCGCCTGTGGTCCCAGCTACTCGGGAGGCCGAGGCATGAGAATTGCTTGAAGTCTCCCTCTCTCCCTGTCTCCCTCTCTCTCTATTGAGACATAATCATTATTATGTTTCAATAAATAAATAAAACCTCCACTAGTTTCAGAAAGCGATGTTTACGCAGAGGAATAAAACGCTGTGACGCTGTCGGATGCATTGGTGCGCACCTGTAATCCCAGCTACCCAGGAGGCTGAGGTGGGAGGATCGTTCCACCCCAGAAATTCAGGGCTGTGATAAGCTATGATCACACCACTGCACTCCAGCCTGGGCAACATAGCAAGACCTTGTCTCCAGAAAATAAAAAAAAAAATGAAACGCTTTGATACATTACAAGTAAATTATATAATCTCTGCAAGCCTCAGTTCCCCTATCAGAAGCAGCAGCAAGCTGGTTCACGCCTGTGATAGCATCATTTCAGGAGGCCGAGGCGGGGCAGATTGCTTGAGCTCAGGAGTTGGAGATCAGCCTGGGCAACATGGTGAAACCCTGCCTCTATCAAAAACACAAAGTCTTAGCTGGGTGTGGTGGCATGTGTCTGTGGCCCCAGCTATTTGGGGAGCTAAGGTGGGAGAATCACTTGAACCTGGGGTGGAGGTTGCAGTGAGCTGAGAGCACACCACTGCACTTCAGCCTGGGTGACAGAGTGAGACTGTCTAAAACAAAACAAAACAAAACATAATATTTGACGTCGAAGGGCTGTTCTGAGGATTAAATGAGGTAATGTATGAGGAACTAGTAGGTAAAGTATAAAATGATATTAAAATCTTGGTTATAAGAGTTGTTAGGGCCGGGCGCGGTGGCTCACCCCTGTAATCCCTACACCTTGAGAGGCTGAGGCGGGCGGATCATGAGGTCAGGAGTTTGAGACCATCCTGGCCAATATGGTGAAACCCCGTCTCTACTAAAAATACAAAAATTAGCCGGGCATGGTGGCACGTGCCTGTAGTCCCAGCTACTCAGGAGGCTGAGGCAGGAGAATCACTTGAACCCGGGTGGCGGAGGTTGAAGTGAGCCAAGATCACACCACTACACTACAGCCTGGGTGACAGAGCAAGACTCCATCTTAAATTAAAAAAAAAAAAAAGAGTTGTTGATGGTATTATTTGGGAAATGAAACCAAATATTGAGCACACACCTAGGCTAAAAGGTGGTGGTCACACTACAGGGATAAGGCATTGTTACAAGTTTTAAAAGATTTTAGTTCCTTATTCGTAACTTTTCTTGGGTTTGTACAAAGTCAGCTGACATGACAAGACTGAATTTATTTTTATTATTTCATTTCTTATCTTGTAAAGAGAGTTGTTTTAAATCTTATGTAGTTCTAAATCTGCTATTTTAGTTTATCTTATTTATTTATTTTGTAGAGATGGGATCTCACTATGCTGCCTAGGTGGGTCTCAAACTTCTGTGCTCACGCAATCTTCCTGCCTCGGCCTCCCAAAGTGCTGGGATTACAGGATAAATGAGCTGTCTAAAACAAAAGCACAGCTGGCTGTGGGGGCTCACGCCTGTAATCCCAGAACTTTGGAAGGCCAAGGTGGGCAGATCACCTGAGGTCCGGAGTTCGAGAGCAGCGTGGCCTACACGGTGAAACCCTGGCTGTACTAAAAATGCAAAAATTAGCTGGGCGTGGTGGCAGGTGCCTGTAATCCAAACTACTGGGGAGGCTGAGGCACAAGAACTGCTTGAAAACTCAGGAGGCGGAGGTTGCCATGAGCCAAGATGGCACCATTGCACTCCAGCCTGGGCAACAAGAGCAAAACTCCGTCTCAAAATAAATAAATAGATAGATAGATGATAAAACAAAAGTACAACCTGAAAAAAAATTAGCACCCTTGATACATACAGCAGGAGGACAGGCTTCCATGTCTGTGGCTCCATCTCCAACCATGATGAGTTTTTTAAAATGAAACTTATCCTTTAAAAGTTTAATCACTTTTCCTTTTCCACCAGATTCGGCTGTTGGCTGCGTCTCATCAAAACCTGCATATTCACCTTAAAAGAGCAGTAGAAACAGGGTTAAAGACTCACAAAAGTGTCTTACCAGTGACAGCTTTCTGCATAGATGATTTCTTAAATGTCACTGAGAAGGCTAAACACGGCCCTTGGTACAGTCACACAGCCGGGAGCTCCACACCTGTTCCTGGGAATAAATAAGCTGTGCTTTATAAAAAATTTCCTTTTTTTTTTTTTTTTGAGACAGAGTCCTGCTCTGTTGCCCAAGCTGTAATGCAGTGGTGTGAGCTCGGCTCAGTGCAACCTCCTCTTCCTGGGTTCAAGCAATTCCCCTGCCTCAGCCTCCTGAGTACTGGGACTACAGGCGTGCACCACCACGCCCGACTAGTTTCTTGTATTTTAGTAGAGATGGGGTTTTCACCACATTGGCTCTGATAGTCTCAATCTCCTGACCTTGTGATCACTGAGCCCGGCCTAAAATTTCCTGTTATGATTATGATTATAGAAATGGGGTCTTGCTAGCTGGGTGCAGTGGCTGACACCTGTAATCCCTGTACTTTGGGAGGTCACGGCAGGTGGATCGCCTGAGGTCAGGAGTTCAAAACCAGCCTGGCCAACATGGTGAAACCCCATCTCTACTAAAAAAATACAAAAATTAGCCGAACATGATGGCTCGCACCTATATTCCCAGCTACTTCAGAGGCTGAGGAAGGAGAATTGCTTGAACCCAGGAGGCAGAAGTTGCAGTGAGCCGAGATCTCACCAGTGCACTCCAGCCTGAGTGACAGAGCAAGACTCTGTCTCCAAAAAAGGAAGGGGGTCTTGCTATGTTGCCCAGGCTGGTCTGGAATTCCTACGTTCATGTGATCCTCCTGCCTCGGTCTCCAAAAGTGCTGGGATCACAGGTGTGAGCCACCACATCTGGCCAACCTTTGTTTTTAGACTACAAATATCAATTGTAGAAGTGGCTCTATTAGGTCATAAATACCTAGGGGTGAATTTGTTGTATCCTTTAAGGTTCCAGTAATTCTCAAATGTTGAGGTGGCAGAACACCGTAAAATATTAATATATCACATTTATTTATTTATTTATGAGACAGAATCTCGCTCTGTTGCCCAGGCTGGAGTGCAATGGTGTGATCCCAGCTCACTGCAACCTCCGCCTCCTGGGTTCAAGGCATTCTAGTGTCTCCGCCTCCTGAGTAGCTGGGATTATAGGCACGTGCCACCATGCTGTCTGTGTTTTGTATTTTTATTAAAGACAGGGTTTTCCCATGTTGGCGAGGCTGGTGTCGAACTCCTAAGCCACCTCGAGTGACCTTAATATATTAAATTTAAAATGTTACTATATGTCACCCAAGAGGAAATTCCAGTTTATTTTTGATCAATTATTTCTATTATTATTATTATTATTATTATTATTTTTTTTTTTTTTTTGAGACGGAGTTTCGCTCTTGTTACCCAGGCTGGAGTGCAATGGCGCGATCTCGGCTCACCGCAACCTCCGCCTCCTGGGTTCAGGTAATTCTCCTGCCTCAGCCTCCTGAGTAGCTGGGATTACAGGCACGAGCCACCATGCCCAGCTAATTTTTTGTATTTTTAGTAGAGACGGGGTTTCACCATGTTGACCAGGATGGTCTCGATCTCTCGACCTTGTGATCCACCCGCCTCGGCCTCCCAAAGTGCTGGGATTACAGGCTTGAGCCACCGCGCCCGGCCTATTTTTTTTTTTTTTTTTTTTTTTGAGACGGAGTTTCGCTCTTGTTACCCAGGCTGGAGTGCAATGGCGCGATCTCGGCTCACCGCAACCTCCGCCTCCTGGGTTCAGGCAATTCTCCTGCCTCAGCCTCCTGAGTAACTGGGATTACAGGCACGCGTCACCATGCCCAGCTAATTTTTTTTTTGTATTTTTAGTAGAGACGGGGTTTCACCGTGTTGACCAGGATGGTCTCGATCTCTTGACCTCGTGATCCACCCGCCTCGGCCTCCCAAAGTGCTGGGATTACAGGCTTGAGCCACCGCGCCCGGCCCAAAAGTCTCCCTTCTAAAGTCTCCCCCACACCCCTTTATTTTTGTTTTAAAGACAAGGTCTCCCTCTGCCACCCAGGCTGGAAGTGCAGTGGTGTGATCTCGGCTCACTGCAGCCCCTACCTTCTGGCTTCAAGTGATTCTTCTGCCCCAGCCTCCCAAGTAACAGAGACTACAGGCATACGCTACCACAACCAGCTTTTTTTTTTTTTTTTTTTTGAGACAGAATTGCTTTCTGTTGCCCAGGCTGGAGTGCAATGACGAGATCTCGGCTCACCGCAACCTCTGCCTGCCGGGTTCAAGCAATTCTCCTGCCTCAGCCTCCCTAGTGGCTGGGATTACAGGCATGTGCCACCGCACCTGGCCTAATTTTTGTATTTTTAGTAGGGGCAGGGTTTCGCCATGTTGGCCTGGCTGGTCTTGAACTCCTGACTTCAGGTGATCCACCTGCCTCAGCCTCCCAAAGTGCTGGGATTATAGGCATGAGCCACCACGCACAGACAAAAGTCTCCTTCTTGAGTCTAAATTGCGTGAAATGCATACGAGCCCCCATAAAGTTGAAATATAACATATAACAAAGTAAATCATAGGGGCTACATAGGAATTAATGTCCTATTAAATGCAGAATTTATACATAGACGGTGATGTTACAGATACTGAAGCTAGGACAGATGATTCTATTTTGCCGAGCAAAGGGCACCGAAGGGCAGAAGACACGGGTTAAGAGAACCGTTCATCCCAATATGTAACTCTGATGTGACTCTTTTTTTTTTTTTTTGAGACGGAGTTTCACTCTTGTCACCCAGGCTGGAGTGCAATGGCGAGATCTCGGCTCACCGCAACCTCCGCCTCCTGGGTTCAGGCAATTCTCCTGCCTCAGCCTCCTGAGTAGCTGGGATTACAGGCACGAGCCACCATGCCCAGCTAATTTTTTGTATTTTTTAGTAGAGATGGGGTTTCACCATGTTGACCAGGATGGTCTCGATCTCTTGACCTTGTGATCCACCTGCCTCGGCCTCCCAAAGTGCTGGGATTATAGGCGTGAGCCACCGCGCCCGGCCTTGATGTGACTCTTTAAGTGCATTCCAACAGGCATTACCCAGAATACTGCATAACAGAACTGGTAAGAAAGGGCAGATGTTACCTTTAAAGTCTTACCGTTGAAGTAGAATTTCAGCCTATTGGCAAACACATTGGTTGCTGGGATATTGAGCTTTGAAGCAACATGCTCTACAATACTCCTAAAGCCACCAGATATTAGGAAAACCTGAACATTTCGCTCCTGTAGGCGACTTACCAGCTCCCTGCAAAAATAAAATACAAAATACCGAACAGTGAGTAATACAAAAGGGAAAAAACATGAAACATGAAGGGGAAAGGAGGATGTATTTTCTTCTCCTGATGCATTTGCCTGAGGTGTATCTGACAAGGTATATTGCCTGGGGAGTTAACGGTCTCGGCTCACTACAACCTCCACCTCCTGGGTTCAGGCAATTCTCCTGCCTCAGCCTCCTGAGTAGCTGGGATTACAGGCATGTGCCACCATGCCCAGCTAATTTTTTTTTGTATTTTTAGTAGAGACGGGGTTTCACCATGTTGACCAGGATGCTCTCGATCTCTCGACCTCATGATCCACTCGCCTCGGCCTCCCAAAGTGCTGGGATTACAGGCGTGAGCCACTGCACCCGGCCTACATGTTTTTCTAAATGCACTTAGGAATCAGTGGGTAGGGCTTGGCTGCTTTAGGAAACCCTCCAGAATCAACCCTACTGTGCCCATGGACCCAGAAAAACACAAGATGAAGACAAACAGGGAAAGCTTAGGTTTTCCCAGGAGAAAGAAGACGGGCAGAACCAGACAGAACCAGACAACCCGACAGACAAGACCGCGTGTAAGAGCCAGAAGGACCACATGGCCACACCTTTACTTCCAGCACTTTGGGCAGCCAAGGTAGAAAGTCACCTGAGGCCAGGAGCTTGAGAACAACCTGGGCAAAATAGCAAGACTTCATCTCGGCCGGCCACAGCGGCTCACGACTGTGATCCCAGCACTTTGGGAAGCTGAGGAGGGCGGATCGTGAGGTCAGGAGTTCGAGACCAGCCTGGCTAACATGGTGAAACCCTGTCTCTACTAAAAATACAAAGGCTGTGGTGGTGCATGCCTGTAGTCCCAGCTACTCGGGAGGCTGAGGCAGGAGAAACACTTGAACCCGGGAGGAGGAGGTTGTGGTGAGCTGAGATAGCAACACTGCACTCCAGCCTGGATGACAAGAGTGAAAGTCCATCTCAAAAAACAACAACAAAAAGGCTGCACGCAGTGGCTCCTGCCTGTAATCCCAGCACTTTGGGAGGCCGAGGCAGATGGATCACGAGGTCAGGAGTCCAAGACCAGCCTGGCCAATATGGTGAAATCCCGTCTCTACTAAAAAATACACAAATTAGCCAGGTGTGGTGGCATGCACCTGTAGTCCCAACTACTTGGGAGGCTGAGGCAGAAGAATTGCTGGAACCCGGGAGGTGGAGGTTGAAGTGAGCTGAGATCTCGCCACTGCACTCCAGCCTGGGTATCAGAGTGAGACTCCACGCCCCCACACCTGCCAAATGTCAATATTGTGGAAGGCTGACGTGATAAAATTGATCACTTGAGCCCACAAATTCAAGACCAGCCTGGGCAACATAGTGAGACCCTGTCTCTATACATTTTTTTTTTTTTTTTTAAATTAGGCATGGTGGCCTATGTCTGTAGTCCCAGCTACTTAGGAAGCTGAGGCAGGAGGATCCCTGGAGCCTAGAAGGTTGATGCTGTAGGGAGCTGTGTTCATACCACTGCACTCCAGCCTGGGTGACAAAGCAAGACCCCATCTCTCAAAGGTAGGAGGGCCACTTGACCCCAGGAGTTTGGGGCTGCAGTGAGCCATGATTATACCACTGTACTCCAACCTGGGCAAAGAATGAGACTCTGACTCTAAAAAAAAATAACAACAGGCCAGGCGTGGTGGCTCACACCTGTAGTCCCGGTACTTTGGGACGCTGAGGCAGGTGGATCACTTGAGGTCAAGAGTTCAAGACCAGCCTAGCCAACATGGTGAAACCTGTCTCTACTAAAAATACAAAAATTGGCTGGGCGCGGTGGCTCAAGCCTGTAATCCCAGCACTTTGGGAGGCCGAGGCGGGTGGATCACGAGGTCAAGAGATCGAGACCATCCTGGTCAACATGGTGAAACCCCGTCTCTACTAAAAATACAAAAAATTAGCTGGGCATGCGTGCCTGTAATCCCAGCTACTCAGGAGGCTGAGACAGGAGAATTGCCTGAACCCAGGAGGCGGAGGTTGCGGTGAGCCGCGATCGCGCCATTGCACTCCAGCCGGGGTAACAAGAGTGAAACTCCATCTCAAAAAAAAAAAAAAAAAAAAAAAATTATGGGAGTGTGGTGGTGGGTGCCTGTAATCCCAGCTACTTGGGAGGCTGAGACAGGAGAATCATGTGAACCTGGGAGGCAGAAGTTGCAGTGAGCTGAGGTCACACCACTGCACTCCAGCCTGGGCAACAGAGCAAGATTTTGTCTGAAGTAAATAAATAAAATAACGTACCCGAGACTGAGTAATCTATAAAATAAATAATAACAAAAATAAAATAAAATAACACACCCAGAGGGCACTCTAAAGCAACAGTTAGACGCCCTCAGGAGGATGCCCCCCACACTGACGCTGAAAGACACCTGGAGCAAGGGCTCCTCTTACCTTATGCCGGGGGTCAGGTGTGGGGGTTGCTCTGCTATGAGTCTCTGCACCTGCTCCCTGGAGGGCTGGATTAGGGCTAAGCGCTCCGTGAGAGCTTCTCTGAAAGGCACTGCCCCGCCCATGGCTCGCCGCGTCCTAGGAGGGAGACCCGACAGTCAGGCCAGCCAGGTCTGCCTTCCTCAAGGTTGACAAGCCCAACTGCCCAGGTCTGCACAACATCCAACAAAAGGAAGATGCTACCAAGAGCCCCACTGTGCAACAGACATCCTTTGCTGCTAAGAGAGCAAGGCCTTGGAATAAACTTTTGAAGGTTTGCTTGAAAATAATAATAGGCTGGGTGCAGTGACTCAAGCCTATAATCTCAGCACTTGGGGAAGCTGAGGCAGGCAGATCACCTGAAGCCAGGAGTTCGAGACCAGCCTGGCCAACATGGCAAACCCCCATCTTTACTTAAAAAATGCAAATATTGGCCGGGCACGGTGGCTCAAGCCTGTAATCCCAGCACTTTGGGAGGCCGAGGCGGGTGGATCACGAGGTCAAGAGATCGAGACCGTCCTGGTCAACATGGTGAAACCCCGTCTCTACTAAAAATACAAAAAATTAGCTGGGCATGGTGGCACATGCCTGTAATCCCAGCTACTCAGGAGGCTGAGGTAGGAGAATTGCCTGAACCCGGGAGGCGGAGGTTGCGGTGAGCCGAGATCGCGCCATGGCACTCCATCCTGGGTAACAAGAGCGAAACTCCGTCTCAAAAAAAAAAAGAAAAAAAAAAGAAAAAAAAATGCAAATATTGCCGGGCGCGGTGGCTCAAGCTTGTAATCCCAGCACTTTGGGAGGCCGAGGCGGGTGGATCACAAGGTCGAGAGATCGAGACCATCCTGGTCAACATGGTGAAACCCCGTCTCTACTATAAATACAAAAAATTAGCTGGGCATGGTGGTACGTGCCTGTAATCCCAGCTACCCAGGAGGCTGAGGCAGGAGAATTGCCTGAACCCAGGAGGCGGAGGTTGGGAGGTTGCGGTGAGCCGAGATCGCGCCATTGCACTCCAGCCTGGGTAACAAGAGCGAAACTCTGTCTTTTTTTTTTTTTTTTTTTTTTTTTGAGACGGAGTTTCGCTCTTGTTACCCAGGCTGGAGTGCAATGGCGCGATCTCGGCTCACCGCAACCTCCACCTCCTGGGTTCAGGCAATTCTCCTGCCTCAGCCTCCTGGGTAGCTGGGATTACAGGCACGCGCCACCATGCCCAGCTAATTTTTTGTATTTTTTTTTAGTAGAGACGGGGTTTCACCATGTTGACCAGGTTGGTCTCGATCTCTTGACCTCGTGATCCACCCGCCTCGGCCTCCCAAAGTGCTGGGATTACAGGCTTGAGCCACCGCGCCCGGCCGAAACTCTGTCTTAAAAAAAAGAAAAAAAAAATGCAAATATTAGCTGGGCATGGTGGTGCATGCCTGTAATCCCAGCTACTCAAGAGGCTGAGGTAGGGGAATTGCTTGAACCTGGGAGGTGGAGGTTGTGGTGAGCTGAGATCGTGCCACTGCAACCCAGCCTGGATGACAGAGTGAACTCCATCAAAACAAAACAAAACAAAATAAAAACCACACAGCCTATCCATAGGTAGTTTTCTTGAAAGCCATGAGCTGTCATAAATCAAAGAAACCAAAGGCTAAAAGTTCTTGCATGAAAGGCAGTTAAAAATGAAATGGTGGTTGGGCACAGTGGCTCCCACCTGTAACCTCAGCACTGTGGGAGGACAAGGCAGGGGGATCATGAGGTCAGGAGGTCAAGACCAGACTGGCCAACATGGTGAAACTCTGTCTCCAAAAATTAGCCAGGCGTGGTAGCGCGCGCCTGTAATCCCAGCTACTCAGGAAGCTGAGGCAGGGGGATTGCTTGAATCCAGGAGGCAGCGGTTGCAGTGAGCCGAGATTGCGCCATTGCACTCCAGCCTGGGTGACAGAGCGAGACTCTGTCTCAAGAGAAAAAAAAAAAAGAAAATGACATGGTGCATGACTGGGGGACTGGGGCTACAAAGGGGGTGCCCAGCTGCAGGGTGAGGGGGCAGAGGGAGGAAGGGGCTCCGACCCAGGGTCCACCAAGAGACGGTAAACCTTTCCAGGGAACCGCCGAGGCCACTCTTCCCACCGTGACGCAAATCCGATGGACACGGGGCCCTGCCCCGCAGGCCATCTTCTTTGGTTAGTGACTGCTGTCAGTCTCCTGATCAAGGTAGGAACGCGTCTTATTCATATTTGTTTACCGTAAATATTTATATAAACGAATGACTATATCAAAATCGCTAAGGGATGAAAGAAAAAGCCGAGTGCTCATGTTCCATAGCCAGGGTCTAACACTTCATCCCAAACAATCACTCTGTCATTTTGTCAAGTGAACAAATGCTATGCCTACATTTCTGACACCTGGTTCTCAACGCCACAGATTCTGGCTAGCTCATCAATTCCTTCTTCTCTGATGACTGTGCTGTCGACATCAAAACACACTGCGTCTGCTGAGGAGAAAAGCTTCCTCAGCTCTGAGCGGGAGACCATCCTTGGATGAATTTTCCTCCTACGAGAAAAAAGATAAATGTATTTAAAGACATTAAATGAAATTATGAAAAGAGCCCATCTTGCTGTTCTAAGCCAGTGTAGCCCATATCAGAGTGTACTCATGGATTCATTCATGTTTTTTTCTTTCTTTTTTTTTTTTTTTTTTGTTTTTTTTTTTTTTTTTGTTTGTTTTTTTTGTTTTTTTTGAGACGGAGTTTTGCTCTTGTTACCCAGGCTGGAGTGCAATGGCACGATCTCGGCTCACCGCAACCTCCGCCTCCTGGGTTCAGGCAATTCTCCTGCCTCAGCCTCCTGAGTAGCTGGGATTACAGGCACGCACCACCATGCCCAGCTAATTTTTTGTATTTTTAGTAGAGACGGGGTTTCACCATGTTGACCAGGATGGTCTAGATCTCTCGACCTCGTGATCCGCCCGCCTCGGCCTCCCAAAGTACTGAGATTACAAGCTTGAGCCACCACGCCCGGCCTTTTTTTTTTTTTTAGACAGAGTTTCGCTCTCGTTACCCAGGCTGGAGTGCAATGGCGCGATCTCGGCTCACCGCAACCTCCACCTCCTGGGTTCAGGCAATTCTCCTGCCTCAGCCTCCTGAGTAGCTGGGATTACAGGCACCCACCACCACGCCCAGCTAGTTTTTTGTATTTTTAGTAGAGACGGGGTTTCACCATGTTGACCAGGATGGTCTCGATCTCTCGACCTCGTGATCCACCCGCCTCGGCCTCCCAAAGTGCTGGGGTTACAGGCTTGAGCCACCGCGCCCGGCCTCTTTTTTTTTTTTTTTTAACTTCCCACACTACACCAATTTCTTTTTTAGATGGAGTCTTACTCTGTTGCCCAGGCTGGAGGGCAGTGGTACGATCTTGGTTTACTCCAACCTCCACCTCCCGTGTTCAAGTGATTCTCGTGCCTCAGTCTCCTGAGTAGCTGGGATTATAGGCACCTGCCACCATGCCCCACTCATTAAAAAAAAATTTTTAGTAGAGATGGGATTTCACCATGTTGGCCAGGCTGGTCTTGAACTCCTGACCGCAGGTGATCTACCCACCTTAGCCTTCCAAAGTGCTGGGATTGGAGGTGTGAGGCATTATGCCTGGCTAGTACCAACTTTTAAATATATTTGATGTTGAAGCCGGGTGCCTGTAATCTCAGTTACTCGAGAGGCTGAGGCAGGGGAATTGCTGGAACTCGGGAGGCAGAGGCTGCAGTGAGCCAAGATCACCCCACTGCAGTCCAGCCTGGGCAGCAGAGCAAGACTGCATCTCAAAACACACACACACACATACACACACACACACACACACACACACACAAATATATATGTATATATAACACTGATGTTGAACCAATATTCAATTATTTTTCACCTAATAACTGTAGCAAGAAAGCAAGGGTTGAAGTGGAGATGTGCAGAAGGCTGTACGGGCACACAGGAAAAATGTTCAGCCTTGTCTATGAAACGGGGCTTCAGGCTGGGCGCAGTGGCTCATGCCTGCAATCCCAGCACTTTGGGAGCTAAGGCAGGAGGACTGCTTGAGGCCAGGAGTTTGAGACCAGCCTGGGCAACACAGAGAGACCGAATCTCTACTAAAAATAATAATACAAAAAATTAGCTGGGTGTGGCAGTGCACACCAGTAGTCCCAGCTACTCGGGACACTGAGGCAGGAGCATTGCTCAAATTCAGGAAGTGGAGGCTGCAATGAGCTGAGACTGTGCCACTGTACTCCAGCCTGGGTGACAGAGCAGGACCCTGAGTCTAACTAAAAAGAAAAGAAAAGAAAGAGGCTTCAAGGAAGTGTAGGTATTTGAGCTGACTCTGACGGGGTGGTCGAAGGACAGGGCATCGATCTCGCGTGCGCTGGGAGGAGGCGGAGGGAGGTGGCGCACGGAGAGAGGTTCGCGCTGCGGAGGGAGGAGCGGGAGAAAGACAAGGAGCCGGACGCGGCACATGCCTACTGGAAGATGCCCCACGGCCTGGCCCAGCCGCCTGGCAGCGCGTCAGGAGTTCAGACGAAGAGGGGCCTAGGGCCAGACTCAGAAGTCTAAACTTTAACTTCCCGGTACGGAAAAGGTTTTAAAGCCTCCGAAGAAAGGTCAGAGCTAAATAGACGGGCTAAACACATGCCAGTATGAAGGTGGCAGCTGAAGACAGGGTTTAATTAAAGTCCAGGGAGAAGCCGGGCACAGTGGCTCACGCCTGTGATCCCAGCACTCTGGGAGGCTGAGGCGGGCAGCTCACTTGAGGCCAGGAGTTCAAGACCAGCCTGGCCAACAGGGCAAAACCCCTGTCTCTACTAAAAATACAAAACGTAGCCAGGCAGAGTGGCATGGACCTGTCGTCCCAGCTACCCAGGAGGCTGAGGTAGGAAAATCGCTTGAACCTGGAAGTCGGAGATCGCAGTGAGTAGAGATTACACCACTGCACTCCAGCGTGGGTGACAGAGTGAGACCTGCCTCAAAAAAATAAAATCATCAAGTCCAGGGAGAACAGGGAGAGGGAGAAGAGAAGAGCGCTAAGGACAGAGCCTGCAGGGCCGCTGCCTTCACGCCTTGACTTGAACCTGGGAAGGGGAAGGAAGATGGTGACGTTAAAGGGAGAAACTCTGGAGGGCTCAGTGCTGCAGAAGCTGCAGAGGACATTCAAAAAGAATTTTTTTTTTTTTGAGACAAAGTATCGCTCTATCACCCAGGCTGGAGTGCAACGGCACAATTATGGCTCACTGCAGCCTCCAACTCCTGGGCTCAAGCAGGCTCCCGCCTCAGCCTCCCAAGCAGCTGGGTCTACAGGCATGCGCCACTATGCTTGGCTTATTTAAAAAAAATTTTTTTTGTAGAGATGAGGTCTTCCCAGACTGGTCTTGAAATCCTGGACAAAAGCAGTCCTCCCACGGAGGGCTCCCAAAGTGCTGGGAATACAGGCATAGACCCCCATGCCTGGCCTTTACTGTTTAGAAAATCTTTGGACGGCTGGGCGCGGAGGCTCAAGCCTGTAATCCCAGCACTTTGGGAGGCCGAGGCAGGCGGATCACGAGGTCGAGAGATCGAGACCAACCTGGTCAACATGGTGAAACCCCGTCTCTACTAAAAATACAAAAAATTAGCTGGGCATGGTGGCGCGTGCCTGTAATCCCAGCTACTCCGGAGGCTGAGGCAGGAGAATTGCCTGAACCCAGCAGGCGGAGGTTGCGGTGAGCCGAGGTCGCGCCATTGCACTCCAGCCTGGGTAACAAGAGCGAAACTCCGTCTCAAAAAAAAAAAAAAAAAAAAAAAAAGAGGCTGGTCTTGAATTCCTGGCCTCCAATGATCCTCCCATCTCGGTCTCCCAAAGTGCTGGGATTAGAAGCATGAGCCAAAACAGAATGTTAGAGACATACTTCACATTGACACACCCTCCCTAGGAGAGTGAGCTGGATGTTACCACCTTAACTCTGCCCATGAAATGGTCAGGCCAGGGGAGACAGCCTTTACCCTTTGGGTTACAAGACTGTCAACTCACTCCCAGCTTGACAGCAGAGCTAAAACGAGTTTGCAGCAGAGCAAACTCTTGAGCCTCCGAGGCTCAAGCGATTCTCCTGCCTCAGCCTCCCGAGTAGCTGGGATAACAGGCGCCTGCCACCATGCTGGGCTAATTTTTTGTGTATTTTTAGTAGAGACAGAGTTTCACCATGTTGGCCAGGCTGGTCTCAAACTCCTGACCTCAAGTGATCCACCTGCCTCGGCCTCCCAAAGCGCTGGGATGACAGGTGTGAGCCACTGTGCCCAGCCAATCTCCTCCTCTTTTCATTGTCTCTACCAGGAGTGACTTACAATCCAAGCATAATTAAAATTCTCATAGCTACAGAGGACAAAAATCTGCTGAGTAAGTTCAGTGGCTTCTAAGTAAATTGTGTACATTAGAATTCCACACACAGAAAAATCGTTGCTGGAGTATGGCCTCTGGATTTTTCACATTTGCTTCTAACAGGGAGGGAGTCGGCAGGCCCAGGGGTAGAAGACATCACAGCAGGAAGCACCGTTCTCAGATTCTGAGACACAGCAGCTCCCCAGCCCCATCCTGAACACAGCTCAGAACAGAACTTCTTTTTTTTTTTTGATGGAATCTTGCTCTGTCAGTAAGCTGGAGTGGAGTGGTGCGATCTCGGCTTATTGCAACCTCCGCCACCAGGATTCAAGCTATTCCTCTGCCTCAGTCTCCTGAGTAGCTGGGACTACAGACCATCACGCATGCCTAATTCTTTTTTGTATTTTAGTAGAGATGGGGTTTCACCATGTTGGCCAGGATGGTCCCATCTCCTGACCTCGTGATCCGCCTGCCTTGGCCTCCCAAAGTGCTGGGATTACAGGTGTGAGCCACAGCACCAGGCCTCAGAACTTCTGCCTGGCCAGCCCCAGCCAGTTTGTCTGGGGGCAAGCAAAGGACCAACTGATTTAAAAAAAAAAAAAGAAAAAAAAAAAAGCCACTGCTGACAAGGCCTTCTCACCCCTAGTTCCAAAGTACAAAAGCAAGTTTTACTGCAGGGCCAGCCTTTGGAGGCCTGATTTTGGATAAGAGGAAATAATTTCCTTGCCCAAACAAATGCTTTCCCAACTTCTCAACCTCTATATCTTTTTTCAAGAGGATTCTAAGATCACCTTACTTCCTTCATCTTTTTTTTTTTTTTTTTTTTTTTTTTGAGACAGAGTTTCGCTCTTGTTACCCAGGCTGGAGTGCAATGGCGCGATCTCGGCTCACCGCAACCTCCGCCTCCTGGGTTTAGGCAATTCCCCTGCCTCAGCCTCCTGAGTAGCTGGGATTACAGGCACACGTCACCATGCCCAGCTGATTTTTTGTATTTTTAGTAGAGACGGGGTTTCACCATGTCGACCAGGATGGTCTCGAACTCTCGACCTTGTGATCCACCCGCCTCGGCCTCCCAAAGTGCTGGGATTACAGGCTTGAGCCACCGCGCCCGGCACTTCCTTCATCTTTTATTAGGATTGACCTCTTCACCTGTGTGAGAAC